AATAATCCTTTTTTTTCTGTGTTAAATAAAGAAATAACAATAGCATTAAAAAATAATAATGAATATTTTGGAGATATCTTAAAAGGTAAACGACCAGGAAAAGATTTGTTTCCTACTAGTGAAATTGTAGGCGAATATGCATTTCAAAGAGTAGTTATTGAAAATTATCCAGAAATAAAAGCTTTATTAAATTATTTGGATGAACAAAAGCACGATTTTCTTCATTATAGAGAATATGAAGAAACGAAAAACTACTTTTTTCCTTTATACTTGAAACCTTGAAGAAATCTTGTGCTTCCTGAAAAGTCGAGCTGAACTAATTAAGTTTCACATATATATAATAAAATAAAGAGTCAATCATACTTGGCTTTTCTTAAAACATTACAGAACGATTAAACCAACTTTTTGTTAAAGTAGTTGCTAAAAATGATATCTTCTGTAAGCATTGGTTGGTAAAAACCTTGGGGCTCCATAATATTTCTAAAGCATTCAAAGTTAAAATGTTTAAAAAAAATTGTTTGCATAAACATTGAGTTATAGGCGGGCCCTTTGCCGAAAGTTTTGCTTTCGTAAGAAAGACGAAACAGAATACACACAAATGTAACAGCACGAAAACAAAGAATTGTATTAAAAACCTCACTCCTGACGAAATCTATAAGGCTCAATATGTCTAGCTTAAAAACAAAAAAAATTTAAGTTAATACATATTAATTATACGTAGTATAAAGTAAAGAGTCAAGGGTGTAAGTGCGCAAAAAAAAATACGCTCTATATCTCTATATAAATCTGTGCATACTTAATAGTTGGTAAGCAACTAACCAATATCAAATATTATTTTAAAGGAAGCATAATTAGCATTAAAATATTCCCTGCGCCTCGATATTTTTGCTAAACATTTTAACTACTTTTTCAATTAATACTATATTAACTTTTCGTTTAGTTTACATATAAAGTAAAATTTTCTTATTTTATTATTGTTTGTTCTTATTCATGACCCCTTCCGTTCACCCATTCCCTCTTCAGTTTATATAAACACAACAGGTCAATCAACGCTTGAACGGTTTTACCCCAATTCGCGGGTGACAGCTGTTTAACTTAGGGTTTGATCAGGTGAAGGTTATGTTATTTAATGTTAACTAGGTAGTCGAAGATTTAACAGAACGCCTAGAGGGCGTTTGAGTGGAGAATAGTAAGATAACTTGGTGGTTTAAAAGAGAATTAAATAAATAGTTAACTATTAAGTTGTATCAGAGCGTTCTAAAGAGATTAAGAATAAGGAGTCTAATATAGTAAGCTAAAGGTTAATAGTTTTATAGAAGATAATCTTAAACAGTTAAATTATAAACAACAACATTTTTTTGTTATATTCCGATCAATTTTGCCAGTAATTAACCACTTTCAAGCATACATGGAAAAAGTGAGGTTTGGTTCTGATAAGGGCATCTTATCCTTAAATCTATAGAAAAAAATCAGTTGTGGTTATTTCTACCAAAGGATATATTAATTAATTATCATCAAAAATAAGTCATTACTATTACATAGTACAACGACTTTGTCTTAGAGGTAGGAAAAAAGCTAAGCTAGGCTATAAACTAGTACATACTTCTCTGCCTTGAGAGCTGCCTTTATAAACAAACAAGTTTCAATCTAACTGACCTCCGCATCTGTAGCATGGTATTCCCGTTCCTCTTCCATAATACGGTAATTTCCAGTCATACAGTCTCCATTCTGAGAAGTATTAAAGGTGCTTAATGGTTTTTTTCAAGCTACCTTTTCCACCTTGGCTTACACATAATCCCAATCACAACATCCACGCCCGGCCAAAGAATACTTAAATTTTTTGGCATAACTAATCTATTATTTACGATGTAAGTTTATACATGAACTGCAGGCTACCTCGCCAAAAAAAAAATTTAATGCAGGTAATGCTCCTGGAAGCGTAAAACTAGATATAAACGGCTCTGTTATTAACCAAAAAACACAACAAAATCAGATTAGGGGACATAGCCGTGGTATGTCAAAAGTTTAATGAGTTAATCTTAAATAAGGGCTTCTTAGCAATGGCGAATATTGGAAACTCACAGTAGAACAAACTAATTAATGTTTAAAAACTTAATGAGAGCACTGCAGTGTTACAAATAAGTCTATCAATTCTTAACATCCCTCTAACAGAAAGCCTTTACCTTCCTTGTGATGATCTCCATTACCTCCGCCCATAAAAAAATGTAGGAGTGGAACGACCCCCTCTCAGAAACCTACACCTCTCAACTCAGGTTAGGCTTGCTCGCCTTCGTTTCCAAGTGCACATAACAAATACTGAACATACTGTCTTTTGCCATCTTAAAGCACTCTACGAACTGTCTTCGGTTTAAAATGAGACTGAGACATTAAGTTTTTCATTCCTTTCAGGATGAGATAAATTATTCATCCCCTCAAGCTAGCCTCCATGTCATTTACTACTATTATATTATTTTCTATTGAACAACACTGATGTTAAATTTTAAGCGCGACGAGCTGAAGGCCACAGTTTGTAGAGTCGGTACCTCCTCCCTCTGGCCCTCAGTTTGCAGCACACTGAGGATAGATTGACTTACTCTAATTGTAATATAAGAAGAACGAGAAAAAAAAAGCTAACGAGTATGAATTATATAAACAATAAACCTGTCAATTATTGTCCGCAGGATAATATATAGAATTTAAAAAATCACTGTCAGTAGAGATATAAATGGCATATATCTTGGTAGTTGCTAATGGGAGGGTATGATTTTTTGCCATTAAGGGTCGCCACGGGGAAATAGGAGCGAAAAAGTGTACTAACATATTATTCAGTTGAACAACTCTACAGTGAAGGGGGTTTTAAAGAGATATATTGGTTGGTCTTTAAGGCATTTTTTTTTGGTTATGCTGGGATATGCGTATCCACTGTTACCTACATTAAAAAAATAAATCTTCACTAATATAGATAGAGCGGTGCATTTTCTATCTTTCTGTCAATAGTTAATTCCTCGATACGTGTACTTCATTAGTTGAAAAGTAATTACTACATTATGTTATAGGTTAAGACTACGGTTGAATTTAATGTGTTGCTTTACATTGACACTTTAACAACAATTATTATTGTTAAAGTTCTCGAGAAATCGTTAAAACGCAGCCCTTTTAGTTTTATAACTTTACTTAAGGTAAAAATCGGTCTCATATGTAATTACTCTACATAAGGAGATGCAGGCTTCCCCTCAAAAACACCTTTCTGATGTATAAATTTACTTGTAAGAGCATAATAGTGTAGGAAGTCTTTATAAATAAAACTACTACCTGATCCAGAATATAACAAAACTTTGCATTTTACATCTATTTTACCTTTAACCGCTCTAACCTCGCCCCTACCTCATTCCTTAGCAAGAGTTACTGTCTTTTTCCTTCATGAAGAGGCTTCAAAAGGCTTCCATATTAAGGTCATAGTGGCTATATCTATAGTTTATGGGGAATAGGAGATACTATTATATTAACTTTTAGTTTTATTACTTATAACATTAATGTTACTACAATCTCTAGCACTACCAGTATCCTTATTGTTATATTTATAATGACTGCACATTATTTTTTACAGTAATACTAATATAATCGCCTTCAGTACAGCTACTACTATAACTACAACTATCACTTTTCTATGGTTGCTATTATTTCTGTTAACCAACTCTATAGATTTACCTACACTCATCTATATGCTTACTACTTCACCCCCTTTTCCCAGAGATTACATTGATTCTCTCTATTATACCTGTCTTGGTTAGGATAGTTCTAAGGGCCACAACTTTTTTTTCTATAAGGCTAAAATTCAAGCAGCAACAGTGTACCTACTACCTCTTTTACGCGACTCTTAAGTTTATTAGTAGGCTTAACTCTTACTATCTCCTTTAGGTTTTATATTTGGTTCCAATAAGTTTTTTTAAAGTATGTGTTGTTGCTTAGAGAGCCAGTTCGCTTTTTTACAAAGAAAAACAATACTGCAGCTTCTTCCTCTAAGTACCCAACTCTGTGGGCAATAAATAGTGTGCAAGTGTAACAGCAAAATTTAATTGTTAACTGGAAACCCACGCTTCACGCAGTCCTAATGTTTAATTTTGCCCAGAAGTCTTTTTATTAATATACCTAGCATTACACTTGACAGATTTCTAATGGTTGTACGTTACTTTAAGGTTTTTATATGCACTTCTTGTGCGATTGCTCAATATTAACCTGTTTATAATAAATGCAATGGGTCTTACTATATCCACGCTTTTTACACCTAACTCAAATTTATCACTCATTTATCCGTACTCTATTATTGAAGCTCATTTACTGAAAATATAGTAGCTAACAATCAAACAATTTTATAAAATATTTCAACTTTGGTATACAACCTTAAGGTTTACAAGAAAGATTAATTTTTTAGTTCTAATTCTCATTTAACCTTAAAAGTACACGGTTGTTTAATGCTCGGATAGTATACATTGTCATAAAAAAATTTTCGTTAATATTATTAATATGTATTTAGTAAAATCTCATAAGGATCATAAATATCTAAAAACGTAATACGGGATGCGGTTTACTAAAAAAAAAATTTTAATTTCGACTAAATCTTTTTGCTAGTTTCTTTTGAACAAACTTACGTTAGACTTTATATAATTCTGTCATGTCTAATAAAATTAGTAAGTACTAAGGAACTGTAGTCTTTTATCATATTAGTATCGTGTAGATTTTAACGGGTGTTTTTTAGCTTTTATATACAACACTTGTGCAAAATTTTTTGTAAAATAACCCTAATCTTTGGAAAGCGTTGTAAAATTGGACTAAACGAGACGAATTGTAGTCAACAATTGGGAGAAAAGAAAGGAGTGCGTACATAATGTATGCGTGCAATACATTATGGACTTCCCCAATGGGGAATATATAATTTTATTAAAAGCTTTGTAAAGTTATCACATCTTTTTTTTAATGCCTTCTTCATCTTTAAATAAGTTAACTGGTAATGATAAAGAGATAAGACTAGGAAAACTGGTAGGATCTTTTTCGGTGATCTTTATGTTTGTATGCGCTTACTTAGGTAACTCATTTTAAATGCACAAAAATATTATATTTTCTTGGTAACCAAGTTTAAATGGCAATTAAATAAGGAGTTATTTTTCTTTGGGCTCCTGCTATCCCACTTTTATTTATCTGGCCTTCTTTATTTCGAAAACATCGCGATGTCACCGGGGCTTCCTGGTTGTATATGTGTGCGGTAGTGTTTTTTTAAAAATTATTTTGTATTAGCTTTAAATTACATTTACTAGGCGGTCCTTGAAATTTTGGCCGGAGTAAAATATGTTTTTTCCGGGGATTATGTCCCTTCAATGGGTAAATATATTTGTCTAAAAGTATTTTAGTTGGGAATTTATAACTTTTTTTTAACTTTTACTAAACTTTACTTTAAATAAATATAATACTTTTTTAATAAGTTGGTAATTGAACAAAAAGCTTAAACGCTTAAGGCATTTAGGGGATTCATTTTTTTTTTTTTAAAAATAAATAACTGTTAAAAGTATTTAAGCCCCAGAGGAGTGAGCCGTAAAAACTTATAGTTTCGAAATTTATATTATTATTATACTTGTTAAAGTTAGCTTTGGACGGTAGTTATAAAATCTTTTAATAAATAATTTAAGTATATTTTTAAATATTTATAAAACTGCGCACACTATTTATAATAATTTTAAAAACTAATTGCTTTTTTACTACCGAAATACACTTAACTTTTATCGTATTACTACTAGAAAAAGCGTTAATTATGTCAAATCACAGAAATCGTTTGGACTGGTTATTTATGTGGCCGTGGTTCGCTCGTTACGGAAGATTAACGAATGAAAAAATTGTTTTAAAGGTTTGAATTAATTTGATTTATTAACTTATTTACTGTTGTAGCCTTCTGTAAAAATTATTTAATTAAATTATTTATTTATAGACTCATAAGGTTTCTTAACGTTTGCCGTAAAAAGTCATAGAATCCTTATTATGACGAAATAAATTTGTTGTAGTTTAATTTTTTTTTCTAAAAATTTTGAAATTGTTTTCGTTGTGTCGTTGAGTTTTTCAATTTATAATTATAATATTTAAATTTGTTTATTTATTTATATATTTTATGTGTAATTTTTCAAAATTTTGTTAACTTTGTTAAATTTTATGTTTACTTGTTCGTATTCCTAAAAGGAACCAGTCAAATGGATTCCTGGGCCGGGTTGGGCCACGCAATTGCTTTGCTTTTTATTTTTAAAAAGAGATTGGAATGAAGGCGCCGCTCTTTTTTTTGTACTTTTTTGTAAATTTTCTATTTTATTATAAATTTCTTTACCTTCAGATGTGAGTCATCTTAAAAAGTGGTTGAATCATTTTATCTCGTTGGATTACCCTCTACTGCTGCATATATTCCCTGAAGGTGTTGTTTTGCAGAAATTTATCCAAATTAATTTTATATTAATTTTTTTTACGTTATTTAATTATATAAATTAATTTATACTGGTAAGTAATATTTATATTTAAAATTATTTTTATGGTTGAAATAATCTAAATTAATTCAGTTTTTCGATAAATTATCTTCTTTTACTGCTCAATTTTAATTATTTTTTTTTAAGGTTAATCAAATTTTTAAATTAATTAATTTATACTGGTTAGTAAATTTTGAATAAAAAAACCTTTTTTTACAATTATAAATTAAATTTATTTAATCTTTTTAATCTTGCTATATTATTGTGCTAAACTTTACTGTGTTTCATTGAAGTTAACATATTAAAATTATGAAATCATTTTTATAACTTAAAAAACTTTACAAAATTTATAAAGAACTTTTTTTTATTTTCCAAATTATAATTTTTTAATTTTACTATAAAATCTTTTATCTTTAATTTTTTATTAATTTGCTGCTGAAACTTAGTTGTCCCGCGTTGCATCATTCTAATAATGCCTTTTTGCCTTAAAAAATTTTTAGTAAAAATTATTATTAGTTAATCAAAAGATTTTTCTTACAAAATTTTTATTTAAGAAAGTTGTAAAAATAATTATTTAGAAAACAATTTATTTTTTTTAAAAATTTTTAATTATTTTTTTAAAATTATTTTTTTTTTCGTAAAGGGACTAACTTTTCAGCCAGTAGCATGTCAAAGTCTCACGCTTATTCCAGTGTAAAACGCCTTAATAAGTACGACTACGTGCTGCATCCACGAGTGAAGGTGCCTTGCATACGACTCTCCCCGTGGCTTGGGGATACTTACTTTCCTGGAGGGATTTAGATTTATAGTTCAGTGGTGTCGCACTTATTTGGATTCTATTTATGATGTGACTATTGGCTATCCGGCCGGCCTTCCGGAATCGGAGCTTGATTTGCTGAGAGGGCGTTACCCCAGAGAAGTGCACGTGCATGTTAAGGTGTTAATTTAAAATTATTTATTATTATTATTATATTATTATATTATGCCAAACTTATACATAGAGATTCCTTATGCAAGAGCTCCCTTCTGATGAAGAGAGTTTGGAAAACTGGTGTAAAAGTCGATGGGAAATTAAAGAAAATATGCTGCGTGAATTTTATAAAGAAGCCAAAATTGGTTTTAATAATTTTTATAACAGCCTGTAAGTTTTCGTATTTTTTTGGGTATTAGCGGAGTCAGCTGGAAAAGAACTTCCCACTTTTGAAAACAAGCACGTGGACACCAGCAGCACTTTTTTAATGAAGTTTTGCTTATTTTTCTGGTTGGTGTTGGCTGCGTTGTTTTCTGCTCTTCTGTACTACAGTCGTGGAGTTCGGTGGTACTCTACTTGTGTACAGTTCAAATTTTTAAAAAGTTTATAATTTTGTTTGAGGTTTTTTTTGGCTGCCAATATTGTCTTTGCAATTCTTTCGATGGTGCGGATTGGATTCGACAATTTAGAAATCGGCAGCTACACAAATCCAGAGGGAGTGTAAAGGCAGAATTAATTAATTAAAAAAAAGAATTTTTATTGTTGTCTGCTTTCTTGCTAAATCTTGCGGCTTCTGACGGCCCTCCTGGCGTTCCAGGCGTAGTCCACCCCTGAAATGCACGTGGTGACAACAGTGGCAGCTCTTGTAATATCAACGTGAACATCGACGTCACGTAATTGGATATAGCGAGGATACGCACTGCAGGTATTGTAGGAAGTCCACGCCTGCAGCATTGTGCACCTCATAGGCGGCGCGGCCAAGAGTAAACCAGAGCAGTAACAGCTGGAGTACTGTGTTGGCCTTGGAAATAAAGTAGTAAGCAGGCTACATGCTTATCACGTGTCTACTTTGACCTTGCTAATCAGTGAAGGACTAATCTCAAATATTGACGTCGGGGCCTTCAAGAATTTTGTTACGGTCATCTTTCACGTTGAATCAAATTACTAAATTATATAAAAAATACTACGCAGTGAAATACTTGGCTTGGCAAAAATTTGTATAGCATGAAAGCAGTTCCTGAGATTAAGCCAAAATCCCTTATTAAAAGCGTAAAAGCGACATAGACTAAAAATAGATTTAAATAAATTTAATAACTAAACGAAATCTTCATTAACATACCGGGTAGAAGTTTAGCTTGAAGGAGGCTTAATGTAACTGCCGTTACAAAAATTTTATCTGCAAGAGGATCCAACATAGTTCCGATATAAGAACGCTGAGATGCCCAATGTCTTGCAATCTGCCCGTCTAACTGCGAGGATAATTTGTTTTTAACATTCTTGAAATGTATCCCACCTTAATAATTTTAGCGTGCACCAAATCAGTAATAGCAGCCAGAGCAAAAAGTATAAGAGAAGCCGAGTATTTTTGATGCAAAATAGTAGCAGCTACGATGGGCGACAAGGCAATACGAAATGCACATAGTAAATTAGGGACAGTCCCAAGACGGTTTTGGTGAAGGAGAGATTTCTTAAACCCAATTATAAACCGTAAAGGTTTATAAGTATAACAAAATAGGCTCAACTTTATTAGTATAGCTCGAGTATTGGAAGTGCATAATATATTTTTTTAAAAAGATAACGGAAGATTCGCGCTCTTTATAGTCATATTTAAACAGGAGTGCTGCCCGAGCCTCAACTTTTAGATTCTCAAATATAGTTAGTACCAAATTACAAAGTTTACCTTGTATAAATGCTTACTACGATAAAAATAACGGGATAACCTCGTACACGTAATAAAGAATAGCTCCTTTTAAAAATTTAAACATTAAATGAAATTAAAAAAAATAACAGAAACTCTTTTAGTAAGATGTAAATGCTTATAAACAAAAATTAAATTAAACATGGTTTAATTAAAAATCTTTACAACAAAAAATTTAAACTGTTAGAATACAAGCAAGTCGCATAAGGTAGTGTTAATAATGAAAAAAACCCATTCGTCTTTAATTTAATAAATAATTAACAGCTTTTACTTAAAATATTGTAACGAAATTATCAAAAATTTCTTAAATCTATATTGTTCAAAAGACCTCTACCTACATAATGTGTATTTAAAGCGCTGAGCATTAAATAAATAATAGTAAGGTAAAAATTCATAAAATGGTTACAATAGTTCATGATATAAAATTAGTAGAAACCACTGTACTAACTTTAAATGAAAAACCCAAGTTTACTTGAATTATAAATTAAAAAGTTATAATAAAATACAAAGGGGTAAGTTAATATAATACCTGGTTAACTTTAGTGTAAGATAAACTTATTATTCTTAAAATATAAATAAACCAAAAAAATAACTTCGCAAATTAGTGCCAAAAGTTAGAACCTTAAAAAAGTAACCATTTCTTTTGTAGTACACTCTTATATTTTTAAGAACTATTATAAAATAATGCCTTTATGAAAAAGGACACTGCAATTAATGTTACTAAGAAAAAAAGCTAGTTATCTAATGAATCGAACTTTAAGAGAATGTAACGTATTGTACTGGAGTACATAACCAGCGCTCGACTTAGTGTATTACGCTTGGTGACATGAGATTACCTTTAAACATTGTCACCCGATTAGTTGATTTTTTTTTTGATATACAACTCATTTCAGCATTATAAATAAAATTTGTTATTTACAAATGAAAGCTCCTAGTACATAGAAGAGTTGATAGTATACAATAAACTAGTAACTATGTTTTCAAATAATGGTCGCTTGACTTAACTGTGTACATAATATTGTTAGCTAGAACTAAGAAAAAGGCAGCTTTGTTAAAGTTCATAGTAGTTACGTAGAGGTATGATCCCAAAGTTAAAAAACTCATGTTTTTATTAACAGCATACTTTAAATTTTTCTTTCATTTGTTAATTATGTTTGTGACGTAATTTTTTTCATTAAAGGGCATAAGAGCTATATCATTTTAACTGGAAGCTGTACTCTCTTATAACACTAATAAATGATAACATAGGGAAGTTTAAGTTTATTTACATGTTTATCTAACTATACTAGCTTGCTATAGTCTAGGTTTCACAATTTTTAAGATGCCAACGTATTAATAAATGTTGTTATTTTTAAAAAAATAAAACTATCTTTAAACGACTATGGTAGCAGTTCTATAATAAAGGAGAGTATTTTAAATTAATTAAAGACAGGTTGGAGAGTCAAAAAAATAATTGTTCATACTTTCCTATTGCTTTGGGGGTAAATAAAATGGAACATACACTTCTTTCTTCTTTTTTTAACTAAAAAACACTAGTAATTTTTTACTAGTATATTAAAAAGCATACTCTCTTTCCGCGTAGTATAAAAACCCCGTCATAAGGGTAAGAGGGAGATAAATCTGTTTATCTTTTTATCATTATGGCTCCTATTGCCGACTTAAAGAGCTAATAACTCTAGCACTATTAAACTATTCTCGCAAGATTAAGTTTTCAAATTTTTATATAGTATATCGTCAATAAACGGGATATCTACGGACCAACCCAGTTCAGTATTAGTTGCACCACTTTAAATCCCTAAATTTCATATTTGCATTATTTGCATTAACGATAATTTGCATCCAGTGTATGTACTTCGTAGGAAAATTGTAGCAATGTTCTACCTAGACGGGATTCTAGATATAAATAACCACAATTCTTTTCAGTTTTATTTATAAAAATAAGCAGTTAGCATACTCCGCTAAATCAATGAAAAGAAACTTTATTTATGTCCTTAAACAGCATACAACACTTCATTTCCTTAGTACCCTTGTACGTTAAAAGGAAGCTCTGATAAACTCCTGTGTGAGATTTTATAAACTAGGTATATAAATTTTAAACTGATTGGTCGTGCTAAGACCTTATTTGAGTCCGCATTCAGTATACGAGGGGACAACATAAGTATCAAAGGCAATCAGCTTTGCTCTTCGAGCATGATGCATCTGCAAGCATTCAGTGCTACCTTGAAGTACTTTGTGAAATAACAAAAATGACTCTTTTTCTGATGTTTTTAAAAATTTCGAATTCAAGAGATACGCGTTTTAAAATTCTTATTTAAATCGGAGTGGAAGAACACAAACAAATAACCACGTTGGCCAATGTCATCGCTGCCGTATCTTTGGGCTTACTACAATTGTTCTGCGTTGCAGTCGCACGATGCGTTGCTTGACTGCTAAGCGCTTCAAACACGAGACCATCTACTAAACGTGTGAACTGTGGCAAGGCTCACACAATTTACACGGTCACGACGGTTAATAACCACTAAAGATTTAACTTTTACTCCGACTATATCTTATACTTTCACCTAGCACCACCTGCAACTATTGCTTCACATGCTGAAATGCAAAAACATCTACTCAGCGACAGCAACGCCATGCGCGCAATAGCCGAGTAGCAATTCGAAATGACTACATGGGACCTACGCTAAAATACGCGGGATAAAAAGTTCTAGCGCCACAGCTGCCGAGGAAGCTGGGCACAAAGGACGTGCTAGCGATCGCAGTTTTACGAGGTACAAAATTTGAGTCATTTCAAAGTGCACTTCTCTATCTCTCCAAACTTGCAATAAATTACAAATTTAAAAAATCCACATATGGTTGGTAAAACATTAGCAAAGCCTTGCTAAAAGCGGTGAAAGAAATTGTGGAGGAAAAGATCCCAGTTAATATTTTAACGCAAATTACCATTTTAGGCAATTTTTATGATTATTATATAGATTGTTTCATTACTTAGTCTTGTTAACTTTTTTTTCAACGCTTTTTTTGTTTTAGTCATATCTGTACGTCTCCACTATATATGTACATTTGTTTACAGTTAATTTTAAAAGGGTTAAAGGTTTAAATACCAGCAATTAAAGGTTTAAATCCTTAGAGAAGTGTCAGATGAGCAGGCCAAAAAGAAGGTTCAAGCAATTCCGCTATTAAACGATACAGTAAAAAGGTCATTGAAAAGTGATGACGATATTGAAAACAACTTTTGGTAAAAGTAAAAAAATTATCTTATTTTGCATTACAGTGCAACACGAAAGGACTGAAGTTAAATAATGTTGCCAAAGACTGCTCTCTGTTCGATTTTGGGACACATTTAAAAAGGGAGGAACGGATGTATTGAAAATAATAAGCTATTATTTTCAAAAAAAATGATATTCTGTGGAAAAAAAAAAAGTTAGCTGGCCTTTATACGAACGGAGTCCCCGCTATGCTAGGATCACGTTCCGATCTAGCAACGTCGGTGAAACAAAAAAATTGCAGAACTGTAACAACACACTGTATGATTCACCGCAAAGCACTAGCATCAAAATGTTGACGAGAGAGTTGGTAAACACCATAAAACTGGCTATAACAATAGTGAAATGCAGTCAAAAGCACTGTGCTTTGATTTGACCCCGAGCGCAAGCATTACTTTTTCATAAGGAGGTTTGTCGGCTGTCGAAATAAAATAAGTTGGGGAGATTACATAAGCTGAGTGAATAGCTAAGCTTTTTAATAATTGAGTAGTTTAGTAATCCAGAATTTGAAAGACGGCCGGCCTATCTTATGGACATTTTTTGGACACTTAAACTTAATTTGTGACTCTAAGGTTTCGGGCAATAGGAAACTGGAGGGTTGCACAAAATATATTCTTATTCGAAGACAAAATTCTCGCGTTCATTTACAAACTCGTGCTGTGAAAGGAGAAAATTGAAGCAACAAATTACTTGGAGTTTCCAACGCTTAGAACTTTCTTTGACTACAAAAATTACTCCCGTCTCACAGGCAAACCGACAAAGTGTTATGCACCACTTCCACGAACTTAAGAAGTTTACACGTTACTTTCCGGAATGCAACGATGTTGACATATAAGCTGTTCGATATTTAATTCAAAGCCCTTTCAGTGTCAATATAGAAGAGCTTCCTATAGAAATCCAAGGAGTCAACTAATTACAATATGATAGCAAGGATACGTTTGAAACAGGGATTAACCTTGAAAAGTTCGGGTGCAAAAAAGCATCTCATAACTAAAGCTTCGAGATAACGTGTTGCGGTAACTTGTTATGTTTTCGCCAAATTTTTTGGTGCTGCTTCTCCTTAAAAACAAGAAGAATCAGTTGGACGCTACCGACGACATGCGTGTAGCTTTGAGCAGCAGTAGCAGCATCAGAATATTCTAACTATTAAATAAATTTCAAGCGCAAATATCTCATTAATTTTTTTTTTCACATTAATATAGCATTATTATAACATGAATTCAACAACCAATAAACTAATCATTTCTAAAGATATATATTTCATAAAGAGGTCCAGGACGCCTGCATTTTGAAGTTTGGGGACCACTAAGCAGTTAAAATATTAGAAATAGTGGGCAGTAAGCAAAAAATATAGCTTCTTTGTTTACATAAAAACAATTTTTAAACGCTAATTGCTGACTTCCTTATCACCCTTGAAAACCAAAAATTTTACGACCTTCTGCAAATATAGTATCTATATAACCCAACAATTAATCGCATGCTATAAAGGTAAACTTTAAATCTTTGACTGCTTTTTTAATAATCAAAAGGTTTCCTTTTATAAACTTGAACATTCTTTACAACTAGTTTGATATGACAGCGACATTAAGTTGGATATAATTAAATCTATTTAGTATATGTTTATCTATATATATATATAATTAAAGTAGAAACAGAATTAGTATATTTTGCCGTAATGTTTAAAATAGCTTTCACTTTTTTGTTGCAAAATGGTCCTTTAATTTACGGTTGGCACAAAGGGGTGAAAGTAACTCTTGCAAATATAACCATTAAATTGTGTAAAAAACTTATTATGACGTATCTATCTCAGACAGTGATAATAGGATAGCCATATATATCATATCAACCTTTATAATTACGGATCATAGGCGCTAAGCTTTGCCTTAATATTACTAAATTTTCGTTACTAATATAATTGCAAAGTTTTTTTGGTCTCCACGACATCTTTGCGGGTGACTTCTCTGTTGTTTTGTGCAGGGGTCTCAATTGCAAGCATCTTCATGGATCAGCGGAGTCGATAATTCGAATGGTCACATCTTTGATGCCCAGGCTGATGAGCACGGGCTGTGCGTACCAGATCCCCAGCAACCAACACATTGGGCGACTACAGGCACAATGGACGTAGTGGATATCGCCATACTAAAAGATATACGTCTCACAACTGCAATTGAAGAGCTCCACGGCTGTCCTTTGATCATCTTCCGGTTATTCTCGAAGTAGCCGATGATGGACACACCTAAGATTGTCACTCACTTTTATACCAAAGGGAATAAATATGTTGAGTTTTTAAAACCACTCTCCCGTATTATTTGTCACTACATTCTGCACCCGTCCTGCTGGAATGGTGCGTTGCCTTATTCGAAAGCGCACTGAATGGGGCGCACTACTAACACGACAACTCGTGAAGTTACGTACCGCCCAGATCGCCGGCTTGACGGACTAAAATCACTTATCTGCCGACATTGACATTTTATCCAAATGACCATGTGGTCGCAGACCGCCTACGACAAACTTACACTTTATCGACTGCACAGGTGCATAAGAAAGAAGCTAATGGTCCATTTTAACAATAAACGGGGGGTCAAGATACACCAAATATCCGAATCAGGCAACAGCAACCGTTCTTCCTTTAGAAAATTTGTTAAAAAAAATTAAAAATGGGAGATTTGCACCACTCCGCCCCTTCGTGAAGGAAATATAGTGGCGAGGGTGATGAAGACAAAGCTACGCTTTTTGCTACGCTAATCTCCTTGCTACCCAAAACATGCCAACTGCTCACTTAGATGCCATTGCTTACCCTTTTTCCAGCAACTACTCGAGCTGGTTAATTTTGGCGAGATTCAAGCGATAGTCCAAACGCTACCCAAACAAAAAGCGCCTGGCACTGTTGGCATCACTAATGAGATGCCTAAAGAAATTGCCATTAACAGGGATGCATTATTTGTATCTCCTAGTAAAATCTGCAATGGTTTTTGGCGCCTTTCCGATTGGATGGGAAGACGGTGGTCTTTGCAATGCTACTAACAACATTTAAACCGGAATCAGCACCTAAAAAGTACCGACCCATCAGCCTACTTTCGGTGGCCGGTGTGGTGGGAGAGGTCGTATTTACTGCACCCTCTTAAAGAGTTGGTCAACGCTCGGAAAGATTTAACGGAGTTTCAGTTTGGATTTCGGCAGGTACACTCAACGACGCAGCAGCTCCTCCCCTTAACTGAATGAACCATCGCACTTTTAACCAGAAAGGAGGAAACAGGCGCTGTCTTCCTTGACGTTGAAAAGGTCTTTGAATCAGGTTTGGCAAGAAGGCCTACTCCACAAAGTACGATCTTTATCTTTCCCTCATGGCCTTTGTAATGTGCTGAAGTCATATCTGAATGGTTGCTTCTTCAGCGTGCGCGTGGGACACACACAGTCACCGCTACGATCTTTAACAACAGGGGCCCCATCGGGACCCCTTTTTTCACTCCTGTTTTATTTGCAAATTATATGAGCGCCTTGTCCTTGGCACCTAATTCGCACACACGAATCTCCTCTACGCCGATGACACGGCCTTTCACACATTGTCGAAGCCTCCCGCCTTGCTATGCAAACATGTACAGCGCTATCTTAACGCTCTTCCTGACTGGTGCCGTAATTGGAAAGTTTTTTCAAAAATGCGATGAAGAGCAAAGCGCTTTTAATCACCAAGAAACGCAGCCCCTTGCTGGCGTAAAGATCCTTGGTGTTCTCAAGCGAATTACTTGGGAATCATCATCGACAACAAACGTTCCTGGCAACCGCACGTGGACTACCTAGTGGCGAAGGTCGAGACAGCGATTAAACCGCTTTACCTTTTACTATGCGGTAAAAGCAAGCTTCTTCTGCGAAACAAAGACAATTGCATATGTCTTACACCCAGCCAATAATGACATACGAATGCTGCTTGGACCTACGACTCCATTGCGCTAGTGGCGTTACTTTAAGTGCGACAGAACAATTTGCTGCGGGTGATGACAAATGCACCGTGGTTTGTGAGGAATGATGCTCTTCACCGGAACTTTCGGCTGGACCTTTTAAACATTGTCTTCCAACGCCATGCCGTGGTCTTTTACGACAGACTCACCAGGCACACTAATCGCCTGCTGGTGAGGGAGCTTATTTTACGAGATATGCTGCCCACTTGTCGAGCTTAAGCGCTAGTTTTTATTTGGTGTCAAGAAAATAATGACATTTTTTTGTTTGAAAGCTAACATGTAACTTGTCTGCAATTATTCCTAATTGAGAGCTCGAGTACACGAAGATTTTTGACTCAATCGAGCACCAGGCATTGTCATTTTAAATACATAAATAATATATATGCACAATTTTTGTCGCTTTGCATTGATAGTTTTTGCATTCGTTATACTGTACTTAAATACTCTTGTTGTGTGAGACAAAACAAATATTAAATTTTGAACCTCATTATTTTACGGAAAAAAAAAACGCTTGCCTTTCTGTTTTATTTAGTAGAACCAACTTTTCTTAGTTGCATAGAGAGGATGGAACCAAAGGATAAATATCCAAGCTTTTTATATTTGCATTTTTCCCCTTATATGTTTGTAATAGCTTATAATTCTTTTAGTTAAGTAATAAAGTCTGTTTACTTTGGAGATTCCTTATTGAAGTGTCTTACTTTTAGAAGTCACTTTGATAAGATTTAACTCAAACTTTCTTAATGTTGGATAAATGCCTTCTTAATCTTTTTTTAAAAACAGGGTGTAACAATGTCATTCAGGAATTTAACCGCAACGTAAATCTCGTTTATGTAGTATACAAAAATAAATTTTCAAAATATAAACAAACAAGTATGTGATGCAAGTGCGGTCCTAGTATGCTATGAAGAGGTAGCTTTAATTAACAATATAGTTTGCTAAAAAGTAATGTCAGCGCTATCACTAAATATACTGTTATTAAAGCCATAAAGTTAAGGTCTTCCACTCATGCCTAGCTTTCAGACTGTAATAACACGTGTGATCCTTACAGGTACACGATCTCAATATTTTGTCTGTAGTTTTGCACTTTTAAGTTGTGCAAAAAAATTTTCTCTACAAAAACCGCAGAGCTACTAAGTGGCAGCGACACAGAATTTTGATCCTTCAGTAGTTGCCGACAGCTGGGGATTGCTCCACGTATTAAAGTCAATTCTGCTATGATAGAGAAGTTTACGAAGCAGTTGCAAGAGGAAAAGGTGGTTCAGGTAAACTTACTCTTAATAGAGTTATAAGTAGGCTGCGATATCTGAAGTGCTTTACTATTAGTCTATCCTTTGCGCTGGAGCAAAATTAAAGTATTGTTTGTAACTAAGGCTCCTTCTCTTTTTATTAAGAGCCCAACAAACGGTGACTCTTTCGGCTCCTAATCCACAATAATAGAATAAAAAATTTTTTTTTTATCTATTGAGCGTCTAACTTGTTAGTGTCACTAAAAGCACAAAAGTCTTTAAAGGTTTATCTAAAACATATTATTAGTAACTTGATTCCGAGAAATAGGCAAGCGCTCCACGCATACCGTTGCTATTACTAAAAATGGTTAATCATATGAATTTTTTATACTCACTTTACTTGGCGCGTGTCTATGTGTTCGTGGTTTTCTTCGGAGTGCGTGACATTTATTAGTCCTTGTTGTAGATTCTACGCAAAGCGGCTGGGTTTTAACCCCTTCTACAATCCAGCGGTTTGTACATTATTTACCGTGTCTGGGGGGCATTAGTCGTAAAAGTTTTTTTTGTAAGCTACTTAAATCCTTTCAATGAAGATTTTTCCTATCTATAATTTTAAGTTTGAAACAGCAAGCCAGCTTTTGTTTACTACAAAAAAGGGACAGTAATAAGTATAACTTTTTAAACAAAAAGGAATTTTTTCAAGTTTAAAGGCTTTTAAAGCAAAATTTTCAACTATTCAAGTAAATTATGTACCCTGTAGATTCTATAAAATTAACAAACTAAAGTAACGGTGAAGACATCAATAATAGCACCTCCTGTACTATCCTGCACAAGAAACTAATCTATATATATATATAAGGATAACAATTAAGCTGTTATAATACAATTTTCAAAGTTTACAAATCTGATTGCGTTTTCCCAAAGCTTTTTTGTGATGACCTCGATTCTGGTTGCAGATATAAGACAATTCTGACGTTCTAAATTCGACCTTTGATAAAGGTAACGAGGCATGATGAAAATAACATGCGTTATAATACCAAGCACTCTAATCATGAACTTACCGCTGGGACGCGAAAACTTAACATTACTCTCGATATCTTCACAGCAGAAAATATAAAAGGTATACTCCCCAGTAGTCAGTGAGCAGACCCTCCGCTGATGGCTACCACGGGGTTCCAGGGTTGAGACAGAATGCAGTTTACAATGTATTGGTCGACCTTAACTACACCCAGCAGGAGTCCAGTTTCCTAGTAGAGAAGCAGGATACATGTGTACAGTTAAGGAGGCACGGCGGGGCCTTGGTCCACATAAACATGCGCTCATCGTCATTGCTCACCCATAACCCCCAGCCTTCGAAGAACAACGCTTGCTTTATGTCGGGTCGACGTTGCAGTGGCAGAAATATCTGCTCATCACTCTGAGTATTATTATATGAGTGCTCGGTGCTAAAAGCCACCTGGCCTTCGGGAGCAGAGAGAGAACGCCACAAAAAGCACTTGCCAAACGCGCAATGATTATTGCCTATTTGCTCCTCTTCATCTGGTTTCTTCGCTATTCCCTTCGTCGTCAGAGGTGTTATCTTCAGCCTCAGCGCAGCTGGCGGTGGCGCTCGAGGCCCTTTGATGGGCGGATATAAACTCGCGGCGGTTGTCTTTTTTGGATTAGCTCCTCGCCCGGCGTTTTCTAAGTTAGCTAACCTATTACCGCTATCACCGTTTTGTTTATGTTTGCCTTCCCTCTTTTCCGGGGGACTCAGAAGGCATTTCTTCATCTTAGCCGAAGTATCCTTGAAAAAAATTACCACTGGGAAATCATGCAAGTCACGAAAGCGAAAGGAAAAGTACAATTCAGCTCTATTATGATAGTTATGTGGAGCAATATCCGCCGCAAATAGGCCTTCTTGTAATAAGTCGAGTTCGAAGAGACTTTCCGTTAATCTCACGTAACTTCGGGAACTGTGGGGGCTGCGCGTAGTAACTGATGAGAACGATCTATACCAAATAAAAATTTATACGTGATTACTCGATACCATTTGCTTTCAGGAAATCCAGTAGAGCAGCCAAGCAGTCTTCCCAGATATATATTGTCCTTACTCAGTTGTAAAAGCGCACAAACAAATACGAAACCTCCTCTCCACTTCTTCTGCGAAGAGTGGTGGTTCTATTGGCAAGTAATTTAGAGGTATAGGGATTTAAATATATTCCTTTTTTATATACAACATTTCGTATAAATAGAGTTAGAATAAAGTGCAGAGTAAACCTGTACAGGTGGATAGGAAGCGAATAATTGTGCTTGTTGTTCGCCAGCTTTCCTAGTGACGGCACAACGGCGCTTGTAAAGGCATTAGGCAGAAAAGTGCGTTGGTTTGATATACTTGTTCTTGAGATAAGCTGGTTTTGGACAGCGCTGAATAATGAGTATCTTTTTCATAGGGGTCACAAGCGAGAGATGCGAGTACCCATCACCAGCTGTCGCGGAACACCGAAGCACTCAGTATGCTGTAGCAATGAAGGAAAGCCGAGGAAAAGTGGAGCAACACCAATCAATCGAAAGTACAGGAGGCGCTATACAAACAACCAGCATTCTCAGCATTGCTCTTCTTTCCGTAGCTAAAATCCACAAGTAGACCTGAGTAGATAAATAAACAAAGGTTCAGAGATGTGGACCGTTCAAAGCGTTACTCAGTACTGGGACGTTTTTCCGTAGCTGCAAAGAAGCTCTTTACCACAATCTAAAAAGCAAACGCACGTGACACAAAACCTTTAGAAAAGAACTTAGAAACGCCAACGCCTCCCACTTCTGCCACAAGGCCTCTCATTCCTCAGATGGTTCTTAATAACTTACAGAGGTAAAAAGGTTTCTAACGGGTCTATTTATAACAAAACCTAGAGTAGAGACCAATAATAGTAAAGGTACTATCCCTTACTAAGAGCATCGCAAATAAATCGTCGCTCGTAGACTTTAACGACTTTTTTAATATTTAACAGGAAGCAAAGTACAAAGTACATACTGTTATTAATCTTAGTAATATATATTTCTTTACCAACTGCCAAGTAGATAGGATCGGACTTGTAACTGTTGATGCACTTCGCTTTGGTTAAAAACACTGGTACGCTAGAGGTCTACCAAAATATTTTTAAAATCGAACCATTCAGCACAACGGAAAATACTTTTGCAGTTTAAGTTGGGATTATGAGTATTTCTTAAATTTACAAGAGTACACATCCTGGGAGCGATAATCGAGATGTAGAATAGTTCCTTTAACGTGTTTACGTATTAGTAATAAAGTTAATTAAAAAATAAAAAATACCGTCTTCACTCAAGATATCAAAGAGTTTGAATACTTAGGAACAACTCCAAGCATCTCTTCAACATTAACAACTTTTTCAAAAGATAAAATAATAGTAACAGAGTATTTAGTTATAAACCTTCACCCTGCCCTCGTGTTCTGGTTAACTGCACTTCCAGTTGCTCTGCTATGTCATATATTATAACTATTCTATTTGCTGCGCAACTTCCTAAATAGTTATTCTGAAGAATGAGAAAAAAATATATTGTCCTTTAATATTTTTACTCTCTGTAACTTATATTTTAGGGAAAAAATTTTACTCCACATATGTTTTGAGAAGGTGGAGTACCAAGCGTAACTAGCTTCATAGTGATCATAATATGCTTTATACGATAAAATATTAATTAAACCTTTTTGTCCGAGTAAAAGTTATAAAAGGCTATTTTTTCTACCTGACTTTGAGGCTAGAAGGGTTCCGTTATCGTTCCAGTCAAGACAATTCACACAACTATTTAAAAAATTATTTAATAAATAAAAAAATGTATTTATAATTATTTGTGTTTTAGTAACTAATAATTTTGTTATAGACCCAGAATGATCTTTTTTACAGTCAAGACCCAAAAAGCTTTATAACATTACGTCTGTTGTACAGTCTTTTACAACTATAGTTGACGCCAAGTTGGCTGCTCCAAGATATATCATAAATGCAGGGCATGTGGTATTCACAATTTTAGACCCTAATATAATATTAGTAGTACTCGAAGTAAATTTAAGAATGAAATAGCTATCGAGCCCACCAGCTAAATCGTCATCGTAGCGTCAACGTCGGCTTTCGTACATTTTGTGCTATTCGTTGTTTTACGGTTAAAATAAAACAGCCAACCGATAGGGGGTTTTATCCTTAACAAGTAACCTTTAGTTCGGATATGCGGAATCGTATAACTTTTGCTAAATTTTAGTAAACGTGTTAAAGTTGTATAAGAGCAAGAAATTTGATTTATTAGAAAAGCTTTTGACAAAGGTCATAACACTCGTCACTAGCTACTAAATTAAGAGCTTTACCTTTTCCTTGAACTGTCCAATAGTTAGAGGTCTTAGAAGCACTACTCAACGGTTTGGTTATCATTAAGAGTAAGGCAGCTTTACTTGCTATCAGCTACTATTGGTAGCATAAAAAAAGGAAGCGTTTTTAATTTTAGGCAAAGATCGTAATTCCCTGGGAGATCGGACAATTTATTGAATATTGCAATGGTAGCTAAACACAGTTAGAGCAAGAAAAGCGTCCTAGCCAGTTCTCTAGGTAGTTTTAAAAATTAGTATATTTATCTAAGTAACGCGCATTCAGTTCCTAAAAAAAATTGATGGGTGGGTACGAAGAATTTCAGAAATTAACTCCTATATATTTATCTATCACAGCTTTAATAAAGCTGTATCCAGTTCGGCCTATGAACTATGCGCGTAATAGGCTGGTGAGTAATATACCAGTCAAAAACCCTACTTTCAAGAGTTATATAGCCCACAGGCTGGCAAATTTAATTCAGTTAGGTATGACCTCCACCATAGGGTAATTAATGGTAAGCTATGAAGTCAAGGGGTGTAAGTTTTCTATGTTCTTTTCGTTTAGTGTATACACGTTGTGAAATTCATAACCTTCAAATTATTAATCTATTAACTTATAGTCCTGAATTATTTGGAACAACGACAACACTCACAACAAAAAGTGAATGAGCTTTAGACTTAAGTCTTAGCAGCACACGCAGAAAGCAAAAACAACATAAGAAAGGACAAAGCCACCAAATTAAAATATAATAAAATAAAAGCATCATTTCCTTGATATTTTTAATAAAAACGGGCAGAAAATTAGCATAACTACCATATTACACCTTTCTACCCCAAGTGGCCACCCGACAAAACTAGGTCCTCCGAAAGGTCATAAGCCTTATTTAGATATCTTTTAAATCATAATTTTCTCTAATAACTCATTTTATTAGAGAATAAAGATATATCAACACATAATAAAAACAGGAAAACTACTACAAACACTATTAACTAACTCTTTCAAATCCTCTTATACTAGTTAAATAACTGTTGAGAACCGTAATGAAAAAGTTTAAATATTAAAATTAGAGGTAGTAAAAGGTGGCTACTTAAATTGATGGAGTTTATATCAAACTTCTACTTTAACGTAAAGGAGCCAACAGTACACAACTGTTTAAAAAAGGATAAATTTTTTGTGTCGAGTCAGAATATCCCCTCTTGATAACAAAACCAATTCATAATTTAAAAGTACATCAAATCTTTCTTGTGAGCGACAAAAGCGAACCGGAGAGCATTGAACTTTTAATCTCTTAGATTTCCACCACGCCGAAAAGTAAAACGCCCGCCTAAAAGGGGAAAAAAATCATTATTAAGTTATAAAATCCTAACAAAATTAATATGAGCTATTATACTATCAAAGCAACTTTTTTTTTTTCATGTTATGTCAATAATATACAAAGAAAAGATTGTTGGAGTGAGTTAAGAAGCAAGGGAAAGAAACTAGAAAAGCTTTTATATTCGCCAAGTGTACGGTGGTGGATACAATCTCATGAAGTAAATGTTATTATTAGGATGACACCGACTAAAAAACATTTTTCTGTATAAACTTATATTTAGAGAAAACTGTATGTGAACTTATACATGGATACGACATTCATTAAGGGTAATAGATATTTCGCTAATACACTTTCAGATAAGATAGCTGAATAAGTAAGGGAAAAGAATAGTGAGAGAAGTTAAGTAAAAAAGAATGGGTAACAAGCATACTTTTTTATTAATATTCTTAGAAAAATGCCGAAAACAAACTGGAATACATTATATTAAAGCGAAGGTATGACAAACGCAATTTTTGGATTATTAACGTATCAAATACCAATAATAAAATTGCTTTAATAAAGATTTCATTGATGAAGTACTCAAATTTCTATAACTTCAAGCCTCTGGGTGCAAAGTTTTTCCTTACGACTTTTATTAACAGAAAATTTATGACAGTATATTAATAACTTATAGGTTACAAATTACTATGTTTACCACATGCCGCCTAGGTTCAATTTATAAGAGTAGGTCTATGGAAACTGACCCTAAACGACAGGCTCAGTCTCTGAAACAATCTCTGAAAAAAAGTTTCTGTACCATGTTCCTACAGAACAGGCAGTAACCAAAAAAACATAAAAAACCGGTAAATTTAGTTGCCAACGCAAAACAAATCTATTTTAAGCCCCAGAGTTTTTCCAGTTAAAGGGTTAAAAGGGGCGCAGCCCGTAAACTCAATATTTAGTAGACACGTTAGGACTTGTAAGATTAAAAATTTTATTTCCTTTTTATATTAAAATACAACTAATAAAACTCTAAACAAAGATTAGATAGTTTTAAGATAAACATATCTTTACGGTCTGTAGCCTCCTGCTGTTAATTTTACGATGTATTAGTTCTGAAAACTAGTATATTATAGAAAAACTGTTAAGTATTTAATAGGGTTAGGGTGGAAGATCTCCGAAAGAGTATCGAGTCGGACAGCGCCACCAGTCAGGTATCTGGAAATACAGTGCAAGTTTTTGCTCTGCAGTCCCCCGATTTATTAAATGTGGCGAGGGCCTCTTGACTGCACAGCGCACAAAAGCACGAGAAAGTCCTTCCAGTTGAGCTGACTGTGGTGAAGCGCTCACTGCCAGTTAATCGTAGCTGCGAACATTACCCGCGAAGGCCTACACCATTCAATAAACTATTCTACCAACATCTCAAAAACCAAACCCCTATTAATGTAACTCAGACAATTTCTTATGCCGCTTGCTTGACCACAAGGGCATTTCCTCAGATAACCCCCAACAACCGCAACTAACGCTTAGACAACTGCTTTCAATATTTACGACAAACCTATCAACAATGTTAGAGATGGCGAAGGGTCTGGAATCCGTTTACAATGGTATTTAGACCACAATCTCTTCGTTATATCCATCTTCTGTTCGGAAACGCAGATGCATTCTACATGGGAAACAAGAGTTACAGGAATTGATGCAACGCGAAAGAATTTGTCTGTGTGGTACTAGTGGGACTCATCTTCTTCCCAGAGTCCTATTTAACCCTGCAATTTTTAGACGTACCGCGAAGGCCGCCATGAGTGGCGGCGGTTGTAGCTTTCCACCACTTGACCAGCAAGGGGCCCATGTCGATAACAGCAGCTTACAAGTGCCCCCCGCAGACCACTTTATTACCTCAGATCATGGTGCCCTTTTAATAAATTATTCCTCAGTTGTTGTATGTCGGGACCTTAACTGCAAGTATCCCGCCTGGAATAGCCGTGTCGATAACCCAAAAGGCCGAATCATCGAATCTTCACCAATGAGGGCGGACTGCGTGTCTTACTACTACAGAACCCAACACATGGAGAGGACGGGGATATCGCCGCTGTGAAAAATATGCATACTTCAAAGGCAGTGGAAGCTCTTTACGAACTCTAGTCGCACCATCTGCCAGTTCTACTTGATTTGGGCGACGAAAAGGGGTTACTGAGTACATATACTAGAACTTTTACAGACTGGGTTCAATTCTCCAAGGCTCTTAAAAACAACCTTTTTAACATTTTCCCCTTAATTAGAGCGCCCGCCTTACTTGGCGTTGCTGTTTCTGCATTTTAGGGAGCTTGGACCATAGCTTACCACACCGCCACGAAAATATGGGAAGTTGAGTTCCGCCTTAACCACTTGCCTTATGAATTGGAAGCCCTTATCTGCTGGCGGCGAGGCCTTATTCGAGTAACCACGGTGTCACAACATCCCGAAGATAAATTAGCGTTTAATAGACCACACCGACGCCTTAGGAAAGAGCTTTGGGCGCACCATAATCGATTGTGTGAGAAAAGTTAAGAGATATATCGGATGATAAAGGTAACGGTCGCGTCTCTTTCTGGAAGTTCATAAGAAAATACAGAAACCGAGAGCGTTTACCATTATCTACTATGCGAGGCGGTAATTTGGTGGCGGAAAATGATGCTAGCAAAGCGAAATTTTTTGCTGCTCACCTCGCTACTCAGTGTGTGCCATCTGCTTATTTAGTTGCTGAAGAAGTGCTTTGTGAATCAAACCTTGCTGATGCCGAGAGCCGAAATCGTAGAGATTATTAATGCTTTGCCAAGACGAAAGACACTGGCCCCCACGGCATCACCAAAGTTTTTTTTAAAGCAACTACCAGTGGTTGGGATAGAACGCTTTTGCTGTCTCAACAACTTTATGATGGCTCTCGGCACCTTCCATTGTGCTGGAAGAGACGGCAACTATTGGAATGCCCCCGAATACACTCCGACCAGCGTCCACGCCAAGCAAATACAGGCCTACGAGCCTCTTGCCAGCCGTTGGCAAGATAGCTGAAGCGACTATACTGCGCCACTTGAAAGTATTTGTTGGCGCAAGTCACACCCTGCCAGAGTTCCAATTTGGATTTCGAAGGCACTCAACGACTCAACAACTCCTTCGCTTTACAGAGTGGACGACCCGAGCCTTCATTTTAAAAGCCTTCTTTCTCGATGTCGAAAAAGCGTTTGACTGACGCAACAGGGCTTGCTTCACAAATTGTGCGCCATAGCCCCTCCTTATATTTTTTTAAAGTGATCAAATCTTACTTTAAGGACCGCGTCTTTGATATACGTGTGGGCGATGCACGCTCACCCTCTAAGAAAAATAACAGCCGGAGTTCCACAAGTAGCTCTTTTATCACCCCTACTCTTTGTACTTCATGTACGCGAAGTGCCTCAGCCTAACCAGCCCCACACGCGAATTGCCTTATATGTGGTAGCACATCGATTTACTCCTCGTCAAAGTTCACCTGCCCTATTGCAGCAGCATCTGCAGTACTACCTAGTGACGCTTGCCGATTGGCGTCGTCTTTGGAAATTTACTATTAATGCGGAAAAGAGCAAAACCCTTTTTATCACAAAGAAACGCACTACACCACTACCTCCGCTAGCACATAAAAGATAGCCAAGTTTAATATCGAGAAGTGTTTATCAAAAGTAATTTTTATTATTATCAATGATTTGTGCAGGTTCTTGGTACATAAATATACAGTGCGCCCCGAAAGTGCAATTTATTTATTTTTAATGACTTTTCCTTTTTTTGGTGCTCCCCCAAGTCATCAACTTCGAATTTTCGAGCTCTCAATCAGTACCAACCGCAGATAAACTGTATTCAAGTCTAAAATCTATAAGGTTTTATATTTTTTTTTCACCTGCGAAACAAAAAACTCGTTCTCAAAGCGCGTCACGTAGACGACGACAACTGCGCCGTCCCTTGGTTTGGGAATGAGCTTCGCTATTCAGTAGACCGGGCTAGCCAGCCACAAAGGCCGAGGGCATTGCGTCGGAAACTGACCTTTACTTGATCAAGTTTGAAGGTCCCGGTGGATAGCTCCAGTTCGCACAGATATCTATTTTCATGAAGTCGTAAGCTTAAGCTTTAGACACATATGTCAACCTATAACATTATGAACTGAAAGCAAGGCGCATACAATTCTCATTTGCTGCCCAACGAAAGCTTGCTCTTTCTGCATGGTGAAGGCGTTTACCTCGCTGACTTGAGGCGATCAAGAGCATTTGTTATCGATGATGACTCTCATGTATATCACTTGAGGGATTGCAGGGTTTTACGTCATCAAAAATTAAGAGCGCCTATAAGAAGATATGTTCTCTTCGTCGTGTTTATAGAAATTTTCTATGTGTAGCACTAATCGCTAAGCGCGTTAAGATAGCATTGCGGATGCTAACATATCAAGGCGGGCGACGACTTTGACTACGAGTAAATCTAAATCACATCGATCCGCGTGTGAGGATTGAACGGCAAGGCCCCGTCGCGCACATATACTGGAAATAGTAGGGGCAAGATAAGGGATGCTTTCGCCGTTAGCTAATAGAGCGGCAACAGCGTAGCCTCCACACGCACTTCGATGATGCAACCGTTTGATTATAACTTCATGACGTGTTAAAGCCCATGAGGGCAGATAAAGATCGCATCTTGTGCGACAGACCGTCATGCTAAACACGGTCGAAGGCCTTTCGACATCAAAGAAGACGGTGTCTTTTTGCTTTCTTAAAATTATAAACCCAGGTTGTCCATTCGGTTGGGCAGAGGAGCTGCCTGAGTCTTTGCCGATATTCAAACTGAAACTCCGGCAAGGAGTCCCGGGCGTCGGTAACAGCCTAAAACGGCTCAGTAAAGCGGTCTCCCCCACTTGCCGACCGCTGAGAAAAGACTGAGGGATCGATATTTGCTGCTTTCAGACTCTGGTCCCGATGTCTTCGCGGCATCACAACTGTCGCCTTCTTCTATAGTATTGGAAAGTTTCCAAAGGCCATCGCTGAACTAGTTGAGATACAAGAGTCGAACAACTGTAAAGTTTTTATAACTGGTGCTCAAGAACACCTCATGAAGCTAAAATATCCGAGTTAAAAGGATTGCTCCTAAAACAACCATAGGAAATTTTAATTGGAGTATCTGGAAGACTATATTCAGGTTGTACGCCTGAGGCTTTACTTACATTAGGGAAATAAATTATTTCAAACACAACTTTCTCTAGCCTCAAAGGGTAGATACATTAAATGAGCCTCTAAAGAGTACAGTGTGAAAAAAGGCATATGTGCATATTGCCAAGAATCATACTATATACCTTAAAGTGGTGTTTTTAATACTTTACTGTCTGGTAGATGGTAATAAATGTTTTAACCCTAAAAGACATTATAAGACACAATTAAAAAACAAATTAAAATAATATAGTGAACAAGCTAAATGAACTCGTCTTCAAAGAGCTGAAAAACAAGTTGTGCTTATTTATCAATTTCAAAAAAATTTAACGATAGCCATTATCTATGTTCATAAGTCTACACTGGTGAAGAAAGCTAAAATAAAATTGAATACTGAGTTCCCAAACTCGATCTTTCCGGCCCAAACTGTGATAATATACTTTTCGTTTTACCTCTTTAAACATGAGCTTTAACAACCCTTTAACGCTCTTTTAAAAAGAGAGTATTATACACATAAAAACTTTATTACATTACTTACAAGTGTAATTAAATTGAGAACGACATAAGCTAAACACCACTCTCAATACTTAACTTTATTAGACCTAGTACACACACTTCCACATGAAATTATTAATTGCTTAGCCTTTACATTAAAAGATATCTTGATATGGACAACCCCAAAGCACATTTTTATTGACATTACTATGTCAAAATTACTGTTCTATTGGATCTGCTGAAAACACATGGTACTTTGTATGATACAAAAAGCTGTTATCATCTTATTAAATGCCATAAAATAAACAACATTAAATACTTTATCAACTAATACGGTGTTTTCTTTTCTATTTTATGAGAGTCAATAAGTTGGTAATATTTCCCGTCCATACCCAGTTATTATATTTGGCTTTTCGTTGGTATAATTAGAACGCTGTGATCCTCTCTTTCTGCGGATATAGGATTGTAAAAGTTGCTGAATGATTTCCAAATCCATTTCCTTTTTTTAAAATTTAGAAATTTTATGCTCTCTAAGTCGTAAAGGTAGCAACAAATAATTCTTATTTAAAAAGATTTAAAGAGAACAAAAAATTAAATGGTGACGTTGTCACAGAGTGTTGTCACAGATGAAGTTGGCTTTTAAAAAAGAGTTAAAAAACTCCCCCAGTGCTTTTAAGACATCAATTTAGTTTAAGGTCTCTTTTTTTATAGGTGGCATAAAATTTCCATGGTACTCTCTTTTTTGACTTCGCTTCTTTGCAGTCATCAATTTTATACCAGAGAGAACACTTACCAAACAAAGGGTTATTAGGGATGCTTCTAATCCTTCATCCTATTAAAATTATATTTATCGAAGTCTTTTTATTTATGATTCTATTCTCTACACATCAATGCATTGTGGGTGACCTTTTAATTGCATCGGAACCGTTGCAATTATTAATTCCGGGTTATGATCTGGACATAGTAAGTAATAGACAATTTACAATTTAAGACATAAGGTATATCCTTTAGCGCTGCCCTTTTAAAGACATCCAAAAAAAATTTAATTGAAAAGTATGTAGGCCCCGAGGGCCCAACTATAGCTAAAATTAATTCTTAAACGTGTACTTTTTCAAAAACAGTCGTTTTGAATTTGTTTTTTGCTATTCCAAGAGGAATGTAAGCATAATAACCGCGCAACAAGCTCCTACAATTCCTCCTAAAACATACTTCACAGGATATGGCTATTCGACCTCCTTAAAAGCACGTTTTTAGTGGAGTTTTAAAAACCCTCAATGATTTTTTACCTCTGCTAACTAAACAGTTGAATTTTTCTCCATCTTCTCTTTATCAAGGCTCGATTGTTCTTGCTTGAGCGGGAGTCGGTTTGTTTTTCTTCGTATAACTTTTTGCGGCTTTGTATTAATTTTGTACCCGTTTGTTTTTCTTTTTCTTTTCCTTCTCATTACATTTGCACTCTAGTTTTTAGATTATGGTTGAGGGAGCTGTTCTAACAGATAGTGAAAGATTGAGTGGAGAGAATCCTTTAAGTTCTGAAAAGCAAATGAGTAGTAGTCCGGGGTTACTAATTAACTTTTTTTTGGTGCTTTTTTTCAGTTTTATATCAGTTAACTATTAATTAGTTTAAGTTAACCTTATAAATGACCTATTATCGGTTTGTTTTAAGTTTAGTTAGTATTGTTATTGGTTTGTTTAATTGAACTTAAAAACAGAGGCCGACAAGCTTCCAACGAGTATCAAGGCTCTCGCGGAAGGAGTCATACACCCAGTCGTAGTCGTAGTCATAGCAGAGACTACAGCCGAAGTCCAGCTGGCCGCCCTGTGCGTTATGGCAGTAAAGAACAGAGTCCCACGGCAAAGGAGCCTAACGTACGGTCTAGTCGTGGCCGCAGTCGCAGTCGCAGTCTGAGCGAAGGCGAGCGGCGGGAGAGCAGCCCGTCCCCTTCGACTCTGGATGCAAGCGGGCGCAGTAAAGGCAAAAACGGCGGCCGAGGCTCCACGCATCGTCGGCACCGGAGCCCTAGTCCTCTGCGCAGCCCAAGCCCTCGGCCAAGCCCTGTGCGCCGCCGCAGCTTCAGTCCAGTGCGCAGCAGGAGCCACCACCGCTCTCCTATACGCAGCCGCAGCCGCACGCCCGTGCGCCGGCGTCCTTATAGCCGTAGTCGTAGTCGCACTCGGTCTCTTACTCGGAGCAGGTTCGTTTATTGGAATAAAGATATCAGTGTTGGTGTTGTTCAGTATATATTTGTTTTAAAGAAGCCGGATCCGCCGTAGAAGTATCAGCCGAACTCGGTTTGTGCCTTTAATTTCTGTTTACTATGCTAACGGTCTTTTTACTTGACTATAGTAGTTGTGTAATTCTTTTATTTAGTCAGTCTACTCTCAGATTTTTGCTTCAGTTTGTGGAGTTTTTCTTTTTTTTTTTTTTTTTTAATTAATATTTTAGTGCTGAAAAGTATAATTTTAGAGTACGACGGAGGATGAGTCGAAGTCGAAGTCCACCTTCCGAAAATAAAGTGTTGGGCGTCTTTGGTTTGAGTACGTACACTCGCGAAAGAGACTTGGAAGATGTCTTTTTAGAATATGGCGATGTGGAGCGCGTGGAGCTTATAATGGACAGACAAGTTGTTGTCTTTTTTTCCGCAACTTTTTTTTATCAACTTCTTTTTTCTACCAGACTGGCCGGTCACGGGGGTTCGGTTTTGTGTACTTCCGTACGTTATCTGATGCCGTTCGGGCGAAGGAGTCTACGCAAGGTGTGCACCTACTGCAGCTCGGCTGCTTTGCTTCGGTTACTCTTAATGGCTGGTGTGTGTGCAGGTCTCCGCCTGCACGACAGGATCATTCGTGTGGACTACTCGAAAACCAACAAGCCGCACCAGCCGACCCCCGGAAGATATTTAGGAAGGAAGACATACTCGTCCAGTCGAAGCAGCTACAGCGCTCGCTACCCGTACGGCTACAATGGGAGGAGGTACAGGTACTTTTGCACTGCTCTGCTGGACTTGATGGCCGCTTATTCTCGCTGTTTTTTTTTCTTCCTGTTATTCCTTCTCTTCCAGTCGCTCGCGCTCGCGCTCTCCGAGATACTACCGATCAAGAAGGTTATTCTATATAGTTTATTAAAGGCACTCAACGTGCTTATATTCACGTGAAGGTCCCGCAGCTACTCGCGGTCGCGGTCGCGGTCCCGCTGATTCCCTCCTTGCTGTGCTCTCCGTGAACGTACGTTGTTGTCAGCGTGGCGTTGTTTTTGTAGAAAGAAAGCATGCCATGTGGTGTAGTTAAGCAGTTCCCGGAGCTTCTTTTTGCCTTCCATTGTGTAGCTCGGGTCACGTGTTAGCGTATCGACGTGCACCGACGCACCTGTTTTATTTCTTTATGAGCTTAACTCATTGTTTATTTATAAAGATAAGAAAGAGAATGTAAAAATGAATATAAAGAAAACCCCAAACAACATTTTCAACATATAAAAAAAAAGAAACGAAAAAGCAGTGCGTTGAATTGAGTTGAACTATTTTCGTTTTTTTTTCGACTGAAGAACTCTTTAAGTGGATATATGAAAGTTCAAGTTGCATGAAATAGATTATTGAGCTTATTTAGTACTGCTTGTCGCTGATAAGTTGTTTATAGCAGAGGCTGTAATATAAGCATTGCCACCTTTTTTAGCCCTCTCGTTGCAAAAATCTACAGTTTACTAATGATAATATTTATTAGGTTGGCGCGGCCGCATGTTTGGTGAAGAACTGATTGGGGCAACCATGTTGGGACTGTTCGGAGGAACCGTTCTATACTTTTATTTTTATATGAAAATAAAAAATTATCAAGAACTAACAAGTTTTTCTTTACTGTTTAGTATCTACTTATACTATAATAAAATTTAGTAAAGTATTGTTTGGCTCAAGGGGTTTTCCAAAGTTAACTTTATTATTTTTAGTGCGCTCTCTTTCTTATATAAGTTGTGTAGTATGTATTAACCTTTAATAATCTTCCCCCCCCCCCCCCCCCCGGCACATTGAAAGTTTAATAGTGCGTAGTGTAAACATTGAGGAGTAAAGTTTACATGCGTCGCTGGTAGGGCGTTACCATGGAAGACTGCGAGGATGCTTACTCTCCTCGCCTTATCGACAATCACTTATTATGCTTGGTAATTGCCGGAGACTTTATTGAAAGGGCTTTTTTTTGGGAGACTCATTTATACTTGGCCGCTTAAAAGCTCTGTCAAGTCAGTGATCTCGTTCTGAGGGCGAGGGTCTGCTAAAAAAAAGAAATAATTAGCATCTTTGTGTGGGTAATCGTATTTATCTGCAATTTACTTTTTAACTAAAATTTTACTTATTTTAAGCCTCGGAAAGTGACATATGTAAACTATAAGTTATATTGTATAGTCTATAATAGAGTTATTGAACACTTAAAAACATATTGAACACTTAAAAACAATAATTTATTTGATAATTTTAAATGGTCCCTGGAAAGAACAAACCACAGATTTTAAAGGAAAAGAGAGTTCTGTGCGAGCCTTTTCTATATATAAATTATTTTGCTCTTGTGATTACATAAAATAAATTTAAATATATTTCTTAAATTTAAATTCTTTACGCTTTGTTTAGTCAAGGAACTAACTTCTGTATCCTATAGATATTTAAGCTCTTCCTGCTCATTTGCACAACTTCAGTAACTTGAAACATGGTTTGCAACCTTACTTTGCACCACTCGGTCAAGAGGGTGGCATTGTTTTATCTAATAATTAAACAACCTTATACCTTCAACGCTATCAAGCATAAGTATATCCAACATGTGACTATTTCGTATTAGAGTTTATTATTAGAAAGAAAGGTTCAACTTTTAAAGCTTAAAGATATCGCCATAGCAAAATATCAGCCTCTTAAACCTGTGGCAATGTTTTATAAAATCACCACTTTAGTAATACCATAAATTTGAACCATACTTTTTATTTTTCTTTCCTTAAACACTTTTTATCACATTAATATTAGATTTATTTGGTATACTAGTTATTAGAATTGTCGCTTTCCCTACCTTTTTACTCTACCAAATTTTCATTTCGTGCCCTAGATTTCGTTAAACAGCCTGCCTTCTTAAGGTCTAGAGCCTTTTGTAAGTTAGCAGTTTATAACAGTTTTAAAGAACTTATTCATTTGGGGGCGACTCTGAGATGAAAGCATAATAGTAAACGTTCACTGAGGGAGGGAGAGTCTATTATAAGTATACACTTCCTATGTAATATTATCATCCAGTACCGACTGTCATCAGAGATTCAAAAGGTGTTGCTATTTATCGAATACACCAGAGCGCTTTTTCCTATAATTGAGTGGCGAGCTTACGTAGAAGATATTAAAGAAGATATAGAGTTATTTAGTACATATAACATTGTTAGACTGAGTGACTCTTCTGCGTTTCAAGTGCAGAAATGAACGCTATCGCTCATAAAGGAATCGGCAAATAGATAAAAAATTATAGAGCACTATGTAAAAAGCTTTACTGTGTTCCGGTAACCAGTTTATAGAGTTCAAATGTGTCTTACTGATTCGTAACGCAAATGCATGTTTACTTAAAAAAAATTTATAATTTAATTGTTTAAGACCTGCCGAAGGTTCGAATTTTCAAAAAATCATGACACTGGAGCCACTGGGCAGTGACCATGTTCTCAGAAGTGCCCGATGGTGTAGGATATGTATCCCGCAACCATGATTTATTCTTTTATACTGCAGACGTCGCATAAACCCAAGCAAATAGTTTTTTTAAGTAGTGTGTTATCAGGAGCACTTATAGATGGTTTGTTTATTTAAAATCGCTCGTGGGAATCACTTGAGAATTGCAAAATGTTCAGAGAACGTAATTCTACACAGGGAAGATTTTTCGGTGGGGCACTTAGACGAAAAAACGGTTGTGATAAAATATACAGTTCCTCTATGAATGGGTCGGTTTCAAGATCGCGAGAATCTTGAAGACCTCAAGCGCCAGGTCCATCTCAGATCACCTCAGCAACCGACAGCTAAAGAATCAAACTGATAAATAGGCGTAACAATTGCCTTACAGTCCCTGAATTTACAGCAGAATTTAATAGGGGTAGTCAAAGGGAAGTTTCCCTCAGTACTGGAAAAAGGCGCTTCAGGAAACCAATTTACTCGGTCGATGTACTATATGGAAACCATTTCGACGAAGGAAGAAAACAAGACGATATCAGTGGGCCAGAACACAAGAAATAAGACATGGGAGGACTAGAAAAGCGTATGGTAGATGCGAGTACAAGTACGAAGTCTTCGGCCTAAAACGTAGAATTTTATTCGGAAGAAAGTTACCGGCAAGTGTAGTTTCAACAGTGAAGCATGGGTTGGTTTCATGTTAGTTCGAGGTTGTTCCTTTTTTGCCGGCGTCGAAGATTTAACAAAAATTGCTGAAATCCTGCGCAAAGAAAATTATCTCCAAATATTGGAAACCAATGAGGTGCTACCGCTCAGGTGTGCAAGTCCTTCCTGGCCGGGCAAGAAGATGAAGGCACCCTACAACTTTTGGCGTGCTCAAACCTAAGTCCGGACTCGAATCCGATCGATAGGAGATGGACTCGACGGGAAAGTCAGGAAAGAATGTGTGACCTCAACGGAAAACCTGTGGAGGGCTCTGAGTAAATAATTCAGCAGGAAAGTCGAAAAAGTTGTAGGAAGGCGCCGAAAATAGCGCGTGCGGTAGTTGCATTTAGAGGTGGATTTTTTGAGAAAACTACTATTTAATTATTTCCATTTGTACATTGCCTAGTAAATACGATTTTGCTTTAATATCTTGTCTTTTTATCAGAGATTATGCCACAAGTATTCTTTAATCTGGCTTTATCAAATTGCGCCAGTTATTACAGTGTTTATTAACTTCTGTTCGTTGCCCACTCTTCCGTGAGCGATAGCGTATATCGATATATGTGCCCTATAACCGAAGTTTCGATTTGAAAGTGAAGGTGCGAAATTTGTTTGGGTTTCTAGTGGCATCAGTGTTTTAGTAAATTTCTAATTGATAACTTCAATTTCGGTTACGGCGTTTAGCAAGCACATTTTGAACAAAGGAACGCAGTTTACCATAAAATAATTTATTAAATTTATAAACCTAACTTATTTAGCTTCAGACTTTTATTTTTGAAAAGACGGGGTGCTACAATTCACAAATTTTAACGCTTAAGGAGCTTTACACCGCTCGGTTCCTTATTTAAATGTAATCGCTTTTCGGGTATTAAATGAGCATAAAGTTTATCACTACTAATTAGCGTAAGTTTATGTATATTCATTCCCTGGGGGCGTTCAGCTCGACAGTTGTGAAATGGAAAAGACTCTGCAAAGTGATTAAATTGTGAAAATTAATATATTAAATAGGAAAAAACTGTAGAACTGTATCACTAAAAATAGTTAACGGAATAGGTAGGCGTAGGAAGCTTTAATTATGGGCGTCCAAAATGGCGGGTAATAGAGAGTCCACAATTTTAGTTGATAAAATAAATAAGAGTTCAATCGCTAAAAGTATGACTGGACCTAAGATCAAGGGAGCAGTTGACGTGTTGTTTATGGGTATTAAAATTTGTTGAAACAGCATTCTATAAATAAAGCAATATCAATTAAGTTTGATGGTTCTCCCAGGATGGGTGTTAATTTTGCATAAAATGAAGAGCTGAAACGCGTTTGGAAAACTGTTTTACTTTTTGTGTAAAAATCGTAGGTAAAGCGTACAAGCTATTTCTTAAAAAAAACTTAAGCGTATTCGACTGGAAGTTAATCTTTTTCGTCGAACTTTAATGCATCATGTATTTTCCCTTAGAACCAGGTCTAACGCTGCTTAGGGATGTCACGGTAGAGAATACCTAATTATGTCGTAATACTACGCTTAGTTCCTATGCCTTGCTTTTCAATTGTGTTTCGTTTGTATTTTTTTTAACTCCGTAACGGAAGTCTAGGATGGGGTTTAAGAATTTTCTGCCTAAAAATGTATACCGCTTTTATTCTTTTGCAAAAAGGACACAGACAAAGCAAATTCATATTCACACGCTCGTCAGTGCCATACTACGTCACTAAAGGATCGAACTTGTGCACCTTACAACGGATTAATCGCACCTAACTGTGGGGCCTCCACTGTTAAAGTTACGCTTAGTTTTGACAGTATACTTAGAATTTCTCTTTTCCTGTAAAACTACCGGTCTCTGTCATTGATGTCATTGAGCTTTTATCATCGCAGTTATTGACACAGTATTATTGGTGGGTTGGTTTAACTATATTCGACAAGACGCCATGATGGTGATTATTTTAACAGACCCCTTTAACCGTTTAATGGCGCACCTTGTGTTCGTAAACTACTTTGTTTCTTAGATGAAAAAGATTGTTAATAATAATTTAGTCAGGAAGTCAGCTATCATTTCCTTAATATTCAATGTACTATTTTGTCTGTTTTCGTCATAAGTTTATCTTTTACATAGCGGTAATTAACATCTATATGTCGGCGACAATATCCTCCATTGCGATTATACGCTATGCTGACGCTTGGCTGATTATTAACATGGGCTTGTAGGAGTAAATAACTGTAATGTCAAACTCAATTAACAAGTTCGCCATCCATGTAACATATCTTACGACACTATCATAAGCAATATACTCAGTTTCTACTGTTGATAAGGCAACTATTATTTATTTTTTTGACTCCCATATTATGGGATATTTATGAATAGAGCATTAATATCTGTTTTGACTCTTCTCTCTATTTCTACGGCAGAGCTAGCGTCCGAGAAAACTTAAACTCCGAAGGTTTTATATATAGTAGCTATAAGGTGTTAGATCCTGGTAACCATT